CCCTCCTCTCTCTCTCTCTCTCTCTCTCTCTCTCTCTCTCTCTCTCGCTCTCTCTGAACTTGGCTTCAGAAGCATGTGACCAGTCCGGCACATTTTTGTGTCGGACCTCAAAAACGTTTCGATCCCATACAATTTTTTCGATCCGACACAAAATTATGCTTGTGTCGGACCGGTCACAAGCTCCTGGAAATGCAGAAGGCCCATAAGATGGTCTAATTTGTTGTGCATTAAACTGGTTGATATTACATTGCTCTGTAATGTTACAAAGTTTTGATTCTGTATAGGAAGCACTATCTGAACTACTTATCATATTTTATTTGAATTTTTCTTTTCTTTTTCTTTTTATCTCAGCATCAGCAAAAGGGAAGGCGACTGCAGCAAAAGGTGTGTATCCTTGGCTCTTGGTTTTCGAATGAATTTAGATTTCCAATTTTACTGAATTTTAACGTTCTTTATCAATTTGAAAATCTAGTTGTGGGCATTCTTGTTTTGTTATGTTTTGATGGCTGTTTGTAGATGCAAATGTAGGGAAAGAAAATTGGGACAAGGCAGGAAAAGCGGGTGAGGGCAGTTTGTCACGAGAAGGAAAGAAAAGTGCACCAGTTGTGGAACTAAACATTGAGCAAGGTTTTTGTCTCTTTTAATTGTCATCAACTTCTCTTTATCATTTTTTTTTCTCGTCTCTGTTGATTCATACCATGGCCCCATGATCTCCAAACGTTTGCTTTTGAAATTCTTCTTTGATTTTTTATTTCCTTTACGTGAAATGATGTCATTGATTATAGAGAATAAAGTGTGGTAAATGAGATCAATATGGGTTTCCGTGAGAAATGGATGTGACAAAGGGTTTCTTAGGAGGCGAGTTTGTTGAAAATGAAGTTATAGGAGCAAAAGTTATTTGGAAACTAAGAAATGAAACGATATGGATGCCTAGTAGATGCAATTTGCCATGATCAATATGCTTTAATTCGGGTAGTTTGGACTTGTATAGTTAGGGGAAATTTATACTATTATCTCTTATAATTGGCAAATTCCCTTGATTAAGAACTTTAAGTACTTTATTTTTTTATTTTTTTTTCCTTTTTCACTTTTTTCTTGTGCTTGAGAGATCAGTTTGGGGCTTGAATGCGGAACTGATTTTTTGTGACCAAGCCAGTTCGGAAATTGAATTTCGGAACTGGTCCTTCAGGTTAAAATGAATTATGACTGAAAAAGTGGCAAGTTCCAAACTGCCCTTTTTGCAGCTCCACAATAGAGCAATACACTATGCTCCAGCAGGAGCACATTTTATGCTTAGCCCTTTGAATAAAGTACATTTTTAAGTGAAGAATTTAAAATTTGTTATTTGAAATAATCATTCAGTGATTCTAAAGAGGATCCTAAAGTTTTAGTTAAAAAAATATATTTTACCTGAGTGAGTAAGTGTAGTGTGTTGTTTTAGGAGCACCTGTAACAAAAAAAAAATATAGAAGGTGTTGCTTGTTAGATGATGTCATCTCGTTAAATGCAGCAACCATTTTACACCTAAAAACTTTGTTGTTTACAGGTGCTTTCATAGTAGCACACTGTATACATATTTGATTGGGTAAACTTTACTTTTTTAATTTAAAAATTTTGGACCACACTTTAGAATCACCCAATCATCGTTCCCGTCCAATAATTGTTCTCGAAGTTCTTCGTTTCTGTGTAGAAGCAAACTCTCCATATTTATGACCAACCTTTCCTTTAGTGATCTTAAAACGAACATGACTTTTTCCATTGTAAATTCGTACGGAGTCAACGAATTCCGGCTGAATAGAAGATCTATGTGACCAAATTCTCTTGAATCTTTTTTGAGAAGAAAATTTTAAAGTTTTGATAAAAATATATTTTATTTGAGGGATTGAGTGTATAATGTGCCCCGACCGGAGCACTTTATACATTTTGTTTGGCAGGAATATACCAAGGGTGCCGAACTACACTTTTTATTTTTCTTTTTTTTTCTAGCATGTAGCACTAGTTGGGAACTTTGGAACTTCAGGTTTTGAACCATCCTAGTTATGCAAACATTAGTATAGAACTTCAAGTTCCTAACCAGCTCTCAGACATAAAAAAGGAAGACGTCAATTTCTGAACTATGGGTATTTTGGGAAAATAAAATAAAAAAACAAAAAAGGGTGTTAGGAACCTAACCAATATGCCGAAAACCCTTGGGCGATGGAAACGTGAAAAGTTAGGCCCTTAACCCACCTAGGATCGTTACATACCACCACGCTCTGCAGTCGACGTCCTCGGCGGCTATTAGTCTAGGGTGGCTTTCACACTATGGCCAGTCGACATCCTTGGCGGCTATCACTCTTTGGTGGCTCTCACTCTATGGCGGCTCTCACTCTGTTCAGGTAGCCCTTTCCACAGGTTGCTCTTTTCTAGGATTTGAACCTGGGTCGCAGTGGTTGCCCTGATACCAAATGTTCGTTACCTAACCAATACGTCCCAAACCCTTGGGTGATGGAAACTCAGAAAGTTAGATTCTTAACCCACCTAGGATCGTTACAAAGGGACATGGGTGTAAAATATGAAAAAAATGGGGACACTTTTAATTCCTCAGATTATAGAGGATATTAGTGTAAATTTCCTATATAAATAGAGAAGAGTTTCAGTGGATACGACGCCTGATATCGTGGCTCCAATGACTGCCAACCTTATTTTTTCAACCATGTAACCCATATACTTCAAGCCTCAAGTCAACCCTGCTATGGGCTTTTTCCTATACATTGAAATTCCCAAATCTTCATGGAGGACTTTTGATTCTCTCTTATTAGACTCTCCGTCAGGAATAAAAAGATTCTCTCTTTTTGAAATTGTAACTTATTGTGGTTTCTATGTATGTTTATTGCAGAACTTCCAAGTGACTCAAGATGTCTGATGGACTGTAAGGCAGCCATTATGTTAGAGAGAATTGAAGAGCAGCTGCGGACATTATCTAAACCAGCAATCAAAATTCCTCGGTAAGACAACTTACAATTAGTGTGCTTATTTCAGTTTGTTATAATAGAAAATTCCCTTTATAATTTCAAGCAAACGCTAGTGCATGTTTGATGCTGAATGTTTGTAAGAAGCTTGTTTGTTTTAGATCTTTCAACCTAGGATTGAAGTATGCAAAGAGCTGCACCTATTATAAGAAACCTGAGTCTGTGAAACAAGTCTGAGAGTATCCTTACTTCTGATAAAGTTTCTGTTGGTTGTATATTAGTTTAGTATACTTGCATGGCTTGGCTTGGCATTTTATATGGCTTGTAGTCAACCATATTTTTTCTTACTTCTATCATCTAAGTTAGATATCAATTGATGTGAATGTTAAAACTCTTTTTTTTTTTAAATGATTTATTATTGCCAAATCCAGTAATTTGAATCAATAGTGCTTTATATGCTGGTTACTGACCTTCTCAAGACTGCGTTTCTGGATTATTCTTAGTCTTCATTGTTCATGATACATCTGGTGCTGTATTCTATTCTAAGTTTCTAATTGGACTCTTAACTTCAAGTTAGACATCTTGGAAGATACCAGCTCTCAGATGTTGAGGTATGAAAATCATGTGTGTTTGGAGTCAAGTTGGAGCTTAAGTTAATTCTTTTAGATACAATATTTTTTAACTCATACTCTTTACTGCAGTCATGTTTGATTGCTAATGCTCACCCAGAAACAGTTGAAGAAGTGTACTCTTTCGTGCGATCCTTTAAGGTGAATCTAGTACATTTCGAACTTTCTTTTTATAGTCTGATTGGTAGAATACTGCTTTTCTAGATTGAACCATGGTTGAGGCATCCCATTATGTCTATTTTAATGGCTTGTTGCCTTCTTGATACATTTGCAACTTAGTTACTGGGTTTGCCCAACTTGGTGGTGATCCTACCAAGCAGCAATCACATATTCTCAGAGTGGGATTGTAGGTGGATCCTGCCTCATATTGGGGGAACATGATTCCAATCCCTTAGAGTTCGGTCAATAGAATCGCTAGGTAAAAACGTCTTAAATGCATGTCCGTCAAAAAAAGCTAAGTAATAATAAAGTTCCAAAATCATGTCCTGTATAGTTTTCCAAAGGGAAAAGCTTAATGACAATTATCACCGACGATAGCTGGATTTATCATGAGAAATCAAGGGCCAATAATATCTCCAATTTTATCTTGATAAAAAATGGTATACAATAACAATAGATAGCATTTCAAAAATTAAGTTTTGAAAAAACTGAACTAAAAAATAGCTAATTTACTTGGTTGTATATCATATTGCTAAAAGGTATCTCAGAAGGGTGTGGTTTGTATAGGGCCTAGGCCTTAAACAATCAAAGTAAGGTGCACCTGCTAATAATGTCGAAAGATGTTTCAATACTAGAAATCTTTACGATGGCTTGAAAATTTATATTCATCTCTAATTAAGAAATTTAAAGCTTAAAAAATAGTGCAAATCGAGCATATCTATGAAAATTTGAAAATATTGAAAATTGACGGTCCGGAAAAAGTACTACGAGATACACGATTTTCAAGACTTGAAATCCATTTTTATCACGTCTATACATCTTAAGGTCGAGATGATCGATTTGAGAATTTTTGGGCATCGAAACATCCTCTTCTACTGAATATGTAATGTGCACCTTAATTTGATTGTTTAGGGCCTCACCCTTATATAAGTTTTTTCCATTTCTAAATCCTATATTTTATCATTTTTTGAAGACTAAATTTTTGGAAGAAGCTTAAGGATATCTCAGAATTTTGAAATTTGAAAAGTAATCATACCTAAGAACACGTGTGAAAGTCTTATATAATATTTTTTTATAGGGAAGGTATACTTCCATCATCATCATCAAAAGCCTTTTCCCAACTATTTGGGGTTGGTTGGAAGGTATACTTCCATAAGAAATAATAGTATGATATTTCAATATATTGAATTTCCAATAAAATTTCAATAAATACCCGACAATAAGACCAAACTGATAATATCCCAATAAAAGTTTTCAATGATATTATCACAATAGCAATAATTTCCACAACGGTGAAAAGAGATTCTTTAAACCATATCTAGCCCCCCAAAAAAAAAAGAAAAAAGAAAAATAAAGTCTTATATGCATGTCAATCAAAGAAAAAAGAAATATTGATGCAAATCCATGTATGTTATATTTAAATAAACAAAGAAAGTTCTAAATATAATGGTTTCAAAATCACATTTAAAGAAGGATGGTGGGTCCAAGGTTAGCAGATTTGGATGAATTTTAATGTCTCTCTTATATTTCTCTGTATCTTTACGTATATATTTATTGATTATTCTATATTGACCTATGCTTTAGGGCATGTTTGGGTTGCCACTTCAGACCATTTTTAGAGGTTCAACCCATGGTTAAAATAAAGAGGTGGTTAACAATCTATGGCATGTGTGAATACCCAATGTCACATGACAATCATGTGGTTAGAGGGCCAAACCATGGATTGAAAAAAAGATCGAGCCCTCTTCTTTTTTTCATCCACAAAATGCGCACAGTTTGGTGGTGGCTCTCTTTCTGTTCAGTTTCAAACTCTCTTATCTCTCTAAGAACTCTCTCTCTCTAACCCAACTCTCTCTCTGTCCCACAGCTCTTTCACTCTCTCTCCAATTCAGAGCCCTCTATCTCAGTCTCGCTCTAACCCACGGCTCTCTGCAGCCAATGCGCTCCTATCTCAAGGGCTCTTTCTTAATGGCGATTTGGAAACCACAAAATGCCCTTGACCCTACAATTTGAACCTCTTTCACGAATCCCATTGTTGAAGGTCTCAAGATAGATTGAACTCTTCAGCTGTCCTAAAACAAGCCCTTGCTTTCTTATACTTCTCCCAAATTTGGGTGTATTTTATGGGGAACATGCAAAATCGATCAGGAACAGGAGTGGGTTCTTCTAGTGATGTAGGCATGGTGCTTTTGTGGACAAATTTAACAGAGTTTTTTGCAAGGTCTTGGGTTGGGTTTAGAGAGAGGCTGCCAGCTTGGAAAAGACAATTCGGTGGTGGACTTGCATGGTCTTTACTTTTTCTCTTAGGAAATATGAAATTATTTATAGGAGATAGCAATTGATTTGGCCCAAATTACTGCAGAAATAATTTAAAAGTTTGGGCAATTACATTTTGGTTTTAAAAGAAGTGTATTATTCCATATGGCCCTTGTGTTTTCCGAGAAGATAACATTTCCGAAGTTCAAACTAGAATGCAGTTGACAGTGAAGTTACAAAATTTGTGATAGTTTACGGAGGCGAGTAACAATAGCACTGGGGAACATGAGATGAAAATACTCTAAGGCGGACTCTGAATAGTGGAGAATTTAGGCAAGCTGTACTGGTTTTCTGTACTCTTTAGTGGAGGGGATGCATTGCAATAACTTGACTGATTTTGAATTGTGCCTGTGACCCTGTCTCAAAAAATCAACCCTGCATAACTGTGATTTGTGAAATGTAAAATCTTATCTTTGAAATCAGAAAAGTTAATGGTGTATGGTTTAGATGTTTTTCTTGAAATATTTAAAGTACTCCTTTTGCCAGGTATAGCTCAGAACCAGAGTAAGTCCTGAGCCAAGGATAGTCGTTAAACTTTTTTATTTGCCAAATATTAAGTTAAACAACCATTCCCTGATTATATTCAACGTATTTATTTTTCTCCATGTCAATCTTTTGCAACAAAACTGAACTCACCACTTTCTTATGTGAATCTTCTTTTCTGTTTTTCTTGAATCATATTTTTTAAATTGTTAACAGGCAAAGAAACATGTGAGTCATGGATCAGTCAGTAAAATGTTGTCTGACCTTGCAGAGATGGAAAGTTCCCAACGTGGCTCCCTTCAAGATCCCTGATAAAATAAAATCTTCCCATTTGTTATGGTTTAAAAGTTCTCTGCTATGTGGTGATGCTTGTCTGACTGGCCTCAGTTGGAAATATGGTGTATATTTACATTTAGCAGGATTCATCTGTTTTCCAACAAGGTTTATTGCTTTCTTCATTTTCACTTAGGGAGACTTGCACACCATGTCCGCATTATGCTGTGATTTTATGTTATTGCAAAAACCTAGTTGTTAGATGATGTTTTTTAGGTCTTGGACGGTGTTTTAAAATGCGGCTGCATCGCTGCATATGCGTCCGCATCAAGCACTATGCGCTGCCCAGCACATTGCATATGCCTGCATATGTGGTATGGAGAGATGTGCACATATCTCCACATTGAGCACATCAGGCCGCATAATCTGTCCGCTATTTTTTTAGAAACTGAACCCCTCAGGTAATAAGGTCATTTTGACCTTCAAAAATGGGGGAAAATCATTTTGTAGCCACATCCGTGGCTTTTATTGGATCCAATGTTGTCAGATTCGCTTCAGATCTTTCTTCGGTTTGGTTAAAAAATGAAGCAATTCGGTGCTTTGGCCAATTCGGAGGAAGACTTCGAATTTTTTTAAATTTAATATAAATATAAACTAAATATACATTTATATATACAAACACATTAAAATAATAAGGAAAATCAAAATAAAAAAATCAAAAACTAAAAAAAAATAAAGATACTAAATAGATTCAATTTATTTTATGTTGTGAGGATGTACATGACGAAGAGGTGGCTGCGTAAAAAATTATTTTCTTTTAATAAAAGTAAAAGAGGACAGTAGTGGAATTTTCTAAAGACGAGAGATGGGGCAAGGTGCTATTTGGAATGACAAATTGAGAGGGATGGGGCCACGTGGGGCAAGGTGGTACTTGGTGTACGTTGTAACACGCGCCTCATGTAGTTGGATTCAAGTAGATAGACCCCGCAATTTCATTTTGAATATGGCGAAATATCGTATGAAACTTTGAAATTATAGCTGCTATTCGCTTCGCTTCACTTCGGAGGTTGGAGGAAATCCGAAGACTTCGGTTGCTTCATCTGACGCGAAGCGAATATAACAACACTGATTGGATCGATTGAATCAAAAAAAATATAATGGGCAGAAATTTTATTTGTTGAAGCTCTTCGATTTGTGTATTTGTTGATGCTTGGTTGTTGTTTTGTATCTTTTGGGTGTTGACTTGATGCTTGGTTCTTCAATTTTATTTGATGATTGTATTGACTCTTCTTGAGCTTGACTTTTAAACTATTTAATCTTCATGGACTTTTAGTTTGTAGTATTTTGTAATTTTAAAGTTTGTGGTTGCAGATTTGTGCTTATGGTAGTTGACTGTTGAATGTTTTATGAAGCTAGTTTCAAGTTTCTAGTTTCTATCAGAGGATAGTGGATACAGAATCTCCGACTGCAGATGCTTTTGGAGTTAATGAATAAACGAAGTACTTATTATCGCATATAACACCACCCTATTTTTTCTATGCATTAACCTATATTTTTAGATTTGTTTTTTATATTTATTGACCACATCACGATGATGCTTCCGTCTCCAGACCGCATTGGCCCCCAGCACTTTTGGCCGCATTTCGCATTTTAAAACATTGGTATTGGACTCTGTTTTGGGCCTCTTTTCCGGTGGATACATAAATAATCTCTTGCTGTCAAAGGCTCAACTAGAAAACATAGTTCATATTTTTTTGATGCATTTTTTATATAGTTATGGTCTCTCCCTCCCTCCTATTGCACATGTGCAGGTACTCATTTGGTATGAGTTTGCAATTCTGTTGTATGCCACCTGATAGTTGTGAACTTTTGATATCAGACTTGCAGCACCGAAGCTGACCAAAGATGGATCATGACTGAGATCGCATTAAGAAGGTTTTTTGGTATTGAAACTGCACATTTGTATATTTCATGTATAGCTTTCATATCCTGAACAGTGAAAGGGATGGTTTCTCTTAGTCTAAACTCTAAACCCATACCATCCCAATGGACGGTCCAGATCAGGTTTTGTTGTGTGTAAGACTGGGACCATTTAGATTTCTCTTAGTCTAAACTCTAAACCCATACCATCTCAATGGACGGTCCAGATCAGGTTTTGTTGTGTGTAAGACCGGGACCATTTAGATCTTAAGCTTTATCAAATAGCTGATGCTGATGGCAAGCATTGCCCCAACAGATGGCTGTTCCTTTATCCAGAGATATGTTGAATTGCTTGATGGATTCTTATTTTTTTTGTATTACATACATCATTTGTGATATATGAGAACACAGGTGTTTATGCCTTAAATGGATGTGAGAGATCAACAGTACTATGTGAATATGCTTTAAATGGATGTGAGAGATCAACAGTACTATGTGAATGTTCATCAGTTAAGCACCACTGTCCATTTAGGGAAATGGAGTTGGATGATCTATTGTACCATAAATCATACACTATTGGTTTCCTTTTTCCTTGATCAGTAGATGCTTTTTCTGTTTCTTGAAAGGAATTGCTCTTCAATTAAGTAGAAGGGTTTGCTCTATGGGCCCTGTTTGGACCATTGTTACCGGGAGCGGGAGCTTCCGAGCGACGTCTCTGCCCAAAGCTCGGGGAGCGAGATCTGGTGGGTAAAAGTAGCGGATCATGATCCCGTATGAACAAGGAGCGCATTCCCAATACATCGGGATCGAGATCCCTATTTAACAGAACGCTTTCCATACCAATTGAGATTGTGTTCTCATATTCATTAGGATCGGGCTCCCATTGACAACAGAGTCGTGCCCCCATCTAAGAATGACCGTGTTCCTATTTGGAAAAGATCGAGCTCCATTCAAAAAATGATCGTGATCTGTGTATGATTAGTCCATGTTCCCATGGTAGAATTCTACTTTTATAAAAATTTGGTTTAAAATATAATTATTTGTTTAAAAAATTAATTTTATTTAAGAAGTTTCTTTTAGAATGTTTCGGGTAGGGATGGAGTTCCGAAAATGTAGGGATTGCGCGCCTAAAACTCAGGGAGCAGGGATCTAATTTATTCAGGAACGAGATCCTAAAATTTAAGGAAAACGTTCGTGTGGTATCGGGAGCAAGCTCCATTGTGAACGGGATCGAGAATCCTAAAAATAGGAGCGAGCTCTCAAAAAATAGGGAACGAGTTCAGATCGAGATCCCAGCTACGGAGCGCTGGAGCTGGGTTCCGGAGAGGGAGCGCCACCCTAGTTGAGTGTTCTTGGTAACTATGGTTTGGACTTCTGAACACGTCCAATGAAATGCGGGAAAATAACATTATTTTTAATCTCTCATATATCTTTTGGTGGTGTTTTGTTGTTAAGTGAGGGTCCTCTATTTCCAATATCTGTAAATCCATTTTTTCTCGTGTCCATGTATCTTGATGTTGACATGATCAATTTGAGGATATTTGGGTATCAAAATATCCTCTTCTAGTGAAATGTTTTAGGTATACTCTAAGGCCCGTTTGGATAGGAGGAAATTAGGAATTTTAGATATTTGAAATCCTAAAGAAATATATGGATTTTAAATATCAAGGAATGTTTCCATGCATTTCTCAAATCTCTTGTTTAGATAAACTATACAAAATGCATGGATTCTTTGCAATCACTTCAATGTCCATTGTTTGGTAACAAAACTTGATACAATTTCTCGCTCTAAAATTTTTATATTCTTTCTCTCTCTAAGACTCAAAATTGGGGATAGTGTATCTATAAATTTTTTGAGATAGTTTCTCTATCTAAAATTTGATATGTTTTCTCTCTCTAAAATTTAATATACTTTTTATCCATAATTTAAACTTTGAAATTGTCTATTTAAAAATTTCGAGATAATTTCTCTCTAAATTGTTTGGTGCTTTACTCTCTCTAAAATTTAATATAGTTCATCTTTCTAAAATTTTAAGATAATCTCTCTCTAAAATTTAAAACTTGATATAGTTCCCCTCTTCAATAATTTTGAGATAGTTCATCTCTCTAAACATTTTTTCACTCTCTAAAATATGATATAATTGTTGTATCAAATTTTAAGATACTTTCACTTTTTAAAAGCTAAAATTTGAAATAATTTCTCTCTAAAAGTTTTGCGATAGTTTCTTTTTCTAAAACATTTTATGTACTCTCTCTCTAAAAGTTGATATAGTTACTCTCTTAAATTTTAAAATTTAAGTAGTTTCACTCTCTAAAATATGATATAGTTGTTCTTTCAAATTTTAAGATACTTTCTCTTTCTAAAAGCTAAAATTTGAGATAATTTCTCTCTAAACATTTTGCGATAGTTTCTTTTTCTAAAAATTTTTATGTACTTTCTCGCTCTAAAATTTGATGTAGTTTTACTCTCTTAAATTTTAAGATGCTTTTTCTCTCTAAAACTTCAAGTTTCAGATAGTTTCTCTCTCTAGAATTTTGAAATAGTTTCACTCTTTAAAATTTGATAGTCTCTCAAAAATTTAATATAATTTCTCTATAAAGTTAAAAATTTGAGATATTTTCTTTCTCTAAAACTTAAATTTTGAGATAGTTTCTCTCTTTAAAATTTTGAAATAGTTTCTCTATTTAAAATTTGATATACTTTCTCTCTAAAGTTTAAAATTTAAGATACTTTCTATCTCTAAAACTTAAAATTTGAGATAGTTTCTCTCAAAATTTTTTTGAGATAATTTCTCTTTCTAAAAATTTCATGTACTTTCTTTATCTAAATTTGATATAGTTATATTTCCAAACTTTTAAAATACTTTCTTTCTCGAAAACATAAATTTTACGATAGTTTTTCTCTCTAAAAATTTTGTGATAGTTTCCGTCTCTAAAAGTTTTTAGGTAGTTTTTCTCTTTAAAATTTGATTATAATTTTTATCTTAAACATTTTAATATATTTTCTCTCTAAAATTCCAAATCCAAGATAGTTTCTCTCTGAAACTCAAACTTCGTGATAGTTTCTTTATCTAAAAAATGAGATATTTCTCTATCTAAATTTTTTTGGCAGTTTCCCTTTCTAGAATTTATAATAATTTCTCTCTAAATATTTAAGAATACTTTCTCTCTCTACAATTTTAAGAATACTTTCTCTCTCTAAAAATAAAGATTTGATATAGTTTTTCTCTCTCTAAAAATTAAAATATGAGATTGTTTCTCTCTAAAAGTTTTGAAATAGTTTCTCTCTAAAAAATTACATGTACTTTCTCTCTCTAAAATATGATAATTTCTATTTAAAACTTAAATTTTGAGATAGTTTCTCTCTAAATTTTGAAATAGTTTCTCTCTTTAAAATTTGATATAGTGTCTCTCTAAAATTTGATATACTTTCTCTCTAAAGTTTAAAATTTGAGATACTTTCTTTCTCTAAAACTTAAAATTTGAGATAGTTTCTCTCTAAATTATTTTGAGGTAGTTTGTCTCTCTAAAAATAGTTTCTCTCTCCAAAATTTCATGTACTTTCTTCATCTTAAATTTGATATAGTTATATTTTCAAAATTTTATAATACTTTCTCTCTCTAAAACATAAATATTGCGATAGTTTTTCTCTCCCAAAATTGTGATAGTTTCCGTCTCTAAAAGTTTTTAGGTAGTTTTTCTCTTTAAAATTTGATATAATTTTTATCTTAAACATTTTAATATATTTTCTCTCTCTAAAATTTCAAATTCTAGATCGTTTCTCTCTAAAACTCAAACTTCAAGATAGTTTCTTTCTCTAAAAAATGAGATATTTCTATCTGTAAATTTTTTTAGCAACTTCTTTTTCTAGAATTTATAATAATCTATCTAAAAGTTTAAGAATACTTTCTCTTTCTACAATTTTAATAATAATTTCTCTCTCTAAAACTTAAGATTTGATATAGTTTTTCTCTCTCTAAAAATTAAAATATGTTTGGTTCTCTCTCTAAAGTTTTGAAATAGTCTTTCTCTAAAGTTTTGAAATAGTTTTTCTCTCTAAAAAATTTAGATAGTTTCTCTCTCTAAAAATAAAAATATGATTGGTTCTCTCTCAAAAGTTTTGAAATAGTCTCTCTCTAAAGTTTTGAAATAGTTTCTCTCTAAAAAATTTAGATAGTTTCTCTCTCTAAAAATTTGCATGTATTTTCTCTCTCTAAAATATGATAGTTTCTCTTTAAACCTTAAATTTTGAGATGGTTTCTTTCTCTAAAATTTTGAGATGGTGCATCTCTCTAAAGTTTTTTGGTACTTTCTCTATCTAAAATTTTCACATAGTTTCTCTCTCCAAAAGTTAAAATTTAAGATAGTTCCTTTGTTAAAATTTTTACATAGTTCATCTCTCTAAAAGATTTGGTACTTTTTCTCTCTAAAATTTTAACACACTCTCTTTCTAAAAGTTAAAATTTGAGATAGTTTTCTCTATAAAATTTTGAGATAGTTCATCTCTCTAAAAAAAATTTGATAACTTCTCTCTCTAAAATTTTAACATACTTTCTCTCTCTAAAATTTTAACATACATTCACTCTCTAAACTTTTAATATATTTTTTCTTTCTAAAAGTTAAAATTTGAGATAGTTTATTGTTCTACAAATTTTGAGATAGTTTTTCTCTTTAAAAAATTTAGGGACTTTTCCTCTCTAAAATTTTCATACCTACCAAATGCTTCCTATGTTTCAAGTCGAAGGAGAAATCCATGGGCTTTAAAAACGCCAAAAAACAGGTTTTGGTATGGAAATGAAATCATGAAAAAGTAAGTCTTATTTCCATCATTTTGATTTTCCTAATTTTAAGTATCCTAGTCATCAGCCAATCCAAACGGTAGATTTTGGCAAAATCTAAGATATTAAGAATCCATGTGCCTAAACAAGCCCTAATTTGATTGTTTAGAGCCTCAACTCTATATAAATTTGTTCGTTTTTTAAATATTTGTAAAGCATAACATTTCAATCCTCGGTTCCATGTTTAAAGAAGTGTTCCAACAGTTGGCTTGGCCGGAGTACTTGGCCCATGCCCAGCTAAGTCCTCACCCGAGTCTGAGTAACTCGGCCTAAGTGGGGCCGAGTACCATAACAGCTGAAAACTCTTAAAAAATAAATAAAAAGTACAAAAATTTCAAAAAATAAAAAGATATGTGCAAAGTAAAGATTAACAAAACGCAACTAATTGTGGTTAAAAATAGCCGAAAAACATAGAATTTTAAAAATGAGTTTGTGACAGGGGGTATTTTCAAAACTTTTCAAAAAAATTGAGAAAATATAAATCAGATTTCACGGACAAAATACTTTCCAATATTTGCCAAAAAAAAGAGAAAAAATAAACATGCTACAATTTTATTTTTTTTGTTTTTTTATACTTTTTTGAGTTATT